TTTTAAATGGGAGTGTCTGATAAACGCACATGTACAGGTTTTTCAGGTGCTCCCACTATAGTCTATTTGCCCACAAGAAAACTTGTGTACTTTTTTGAGCAACAAGTGACAAACATTCCAATGTCCAGGTGAGAATGATGGGATCCTTCATCCTGAGCATTGTGAACCTAGCCTTAATTGGAACATCTATGCAGGCTGCAGTTCAGGCAATTTCTGACGCGGTTTAGATGTTTTTTTTATTGTTTTTTTTTTTTTTGCCAATAGGAATGTATGGCCGTTCTGTTCATGTAGTGTGACTTTGATACGGCTTTACACTTTCTGGCACTCAAATAGCCTCAAAGTTGTGCCAAAAAACTGTGTGTCCCAAGTCACGTTAGTTAGGATTATGGGATAGGGTAGCCCTCTACCCTAACCCCAGCGCTTAAAGTTGATCTCCACCTTTTGATATACTTGGCCCAAATGAACTATATCCCTCACTATAGTATGCAGGAACCTTTATGTGTCCAAAGTCGCATGTTAGGGCCACTTTGCAAGCACCCCCGGGTTATGGTTAAAGCGGATCTCCACCTCTTGATATAGTAGACATCGTTCGCTTGCACCAGCCTCACTAACCTGCGAGGCCGCTGGATGTATGGTATAAACTGTAGCTGAGGCTACATACAGCACACCGCACTGTGTTCCGGGTTCCAGCTCAGACTTACAGTCTCATACCCGAAACACAGTCTATCAGTGACACTCAGCCATTCAGAGTAAGTGATGTATTCTAGCTATGAATACAAAGCTTCATCTGATTGGCCAAGTCACAGGTTGTGACATCATCAGCCTGCCTCTCTGACTCAGAGAAAGCCAATCAGAGAAAGCTTTGTATTCACTGATAGAACACATTGCTTACTCTGAATGGCTGAGCACCGCTGTGATAGACTCTACTGTGTTCTGGGTACGAGACTGGAAGTCTTGGTTCAAACCCAGAACACATATATATAGTTTATAACACACATCCAGTGGCCTCACAGGTTAGTGAGGGGCATCGTTCGTTTAGGCCAGGGGTCTCCAAACTTTTCAAACAATAGGCCAGTTTATTGTCCTTCAGACTTTAGGAGGGCTGGATTGTGGGAGGGAGAGGGTCCCGCCACTGGCGCCGGCGGGAGGGAGAGGGTCCCGCCACTGGCGTCGGTGGCATAGGGTCCCATCACTGGCGTCGGTGGCATAGGGTCCCATCACTGGCGTCGGTGGCATAGGGTCCCATCACTGGTATCAGCAGAAGAAATCGTGGCTCATTGTTGGTGTCAGTGGAAGGAATAGTGTCTAATATCATTGGGAGCAATAGTGCCACAAGGGCCGGATAAAGGCTAGCAAGGGGCCACATCTGGCACTCAGGCTGCAGTTTGGAGAACCCTGGTTTAGGCCAAGCTGGATATGTCAAGGATATCAAAAAGGTGGAGACCAGCTGTAACCATACCCCGGGGGTGATTTCAAAGCGGAACTAACATGCGACTTTGGACACAAAGGTTTCTGCACTACTGTGATGCTACTTGAGCACCAGAGTATAAAGTCGCACCACATGAACAGAACGGTCATACTTATTATACAAGATTTATTTAGCGCCAACAGTTTACTCAGCGCTTTACAATATAACAGGAGACAATTCAGCAACAATACAGTTCAATACAAGAGAGATAGGAGGGCCCTGCTCCTTGGAGCTTACAATCTAAGAGGGAGGGGCTGGTGGTACAAAAGGTAGTAACTGTGGGGGAAGAGCTGATAGGAGAGAGAGAAGTTTTGGTTATTAGCTGAAGGCATACTTTCCGATTAGCAAAAAAAAAAAAAAAAAAAAAAAATGCAAAAACACAGAAAACCGCAACACTTGCGTTTTTGGTGCAGGTCCATTGAAGTCTATTACACGCAAAATGCAATCTGCTGCAAGAAAAAAGAAAGTCTAGTCTTTCCAAAAATGCACAGGTTCAAAACACACAGATGTGAACTAGATCCAGGAAACCATGGCAATTGGACGGATTTCTGCAAACCGGAAGCCTTGAAGTCAGGGTAACGTGACATCACACCCCAAACCAAAAATGACATCTATTGCTGCGTACCATTCATTAGATTTAGTTTTCTAAGGATTTTTCCCCTGGTGAACTGAGTAGTAACGCCTCCTGTATGAGAGTGCCCCCACTCTGGATGAAGGAGCACAGGGGGCACAGCAGCAGTGTACACATCCTGCATTGCTGTGCCCTGCGCACATGGCTCCTTCAAGTGAGGACAGTGGAGTTAGCTACATGTGTCTGTCCTGGAGATGAGATCTATTGTGCGGAGCACATGGCCTTATCATCAATGGACACAGGAGGATCCCGCACCCCTCCCTCTTCTACCATCCCCCCACCTTCACCCTCCTCATCAGGTCACAGCTCGGCACAGCTGTGCGGACCTCCGGGCGCCCCCCTCTCCCCGTGACCAGCCCGCTCCTCCACCACATCCCCGGAGATGACGCCTACACACACCGATCACATCACCGAGGAGATCCGGCCCGGCATACGTCATCTCTTACCTAGGAGCTCAGCAGCTCTCAGTCATGTCTGTCCTCAGTGTGGAGCGATCCTTCCTCCGTCTGCAGCTCACATGTCACCATTCAACACATCCACACCGAGGAGGACAATCACTTCCTGTCACACGCCCTCTGCTGGGCGGGTCTCAACCCCGACTGCCCCGCCTCCTCATCGCTGGCTCCGCCCTTCACACATCCCTGCTGCAGGGCCAATGACTCCACTGGAGAGTTCTCCGTGTACCAGATATAGTCCGACGTGTCTTTTCCTAGGTTCGCTCCGAAGAAAGGCGGACTGACCATTTGGAAACTCGGACACTGCCCTAGGGTCAGTAGGGGGCCCCATGAGATGCCCCTGGTACTTTTTTCATAGGCTTTTTTGAGTTTGGGGGCAAGGGCCCCATGATCCCCTATTGCCGGGGGCCCCATGAGTTGTCAGTCCGCTCCTGCTCGGAAGTGTTTTCCACCACGTTTTGCAGAAACAGCAGTCCATTTAACATGTTTTTGTATGGGACACATTCACATATCCGCATTTTCACCCGGTGTGTTTTTTGACTGCAAAAAGTTGTGTTTTGGTCCTATAGACTTCAATGGAAATGCAGAAAAGCATATATTGCGTTTTAAATCTGCCTAGCAACAAGAAAAGCATAATTATGTTTTAAATCCGCCTAGCAACAAGACAAAAAAAAAATGTCAAAAACGCAATGCAGAAATGCCTCAAACGCAACCTGCATAGGTGCGAATCTAGACTTAAACGCATAGGCGAGACAAATGAATGGATTTCGATGAACCTAGTTTACACCAATGCAATGCCTTTGTGTGCGCTTAGGGGCCATTCACACCAGAAACTGCCTATTTTTGCATGCACAATAATGTGCATATTTACATGCAATTACAGTACATTATTTATTTCAGGTACTTATATAGCGCTGTCAATTTACGCAGTGCTATACATATATATTGTACATTCACATCAGTCCCTAACCCTCAAGGGGCGTACAATATAAGGTCCCTAACTCACATTCATACATACACATACTAGGGACAATTCAGACAGGAGACAATTCACATATCAGCATGTCTTTGGAGTGTGGGAGGAAACCGGAGTACCCGGAGGAAACCCACACAGGCACAGGGAGAACATGCAAACTCCAGGCAGGTGGTGCCGTGGTTGGGATTCAACCCAATGATCCTAGTACTGCCAGGTGGAAGTTCTAACCATTTAGCCACTGTGCTGCCTTATTCCTAAGTGTTTGCATGCATTTTTTATTAAATCACTTCTGTCTTTTTGGGCTTATATGTGTGCTGCATTTACATTACCTTTTTTTCACATTTGCGTTGTGAGAAAATGCAGCTTGCTGTACTTTTTTTCAGTACACAGTAACGGTGTGAATTATATATATTGAATAACCCGGAGTCTGGACTGTATGCAGTGGGAATGCCTTAAAAAAAAACGCATCTCACTGCATCTGGTGTGAACGGGCCCTTAGTCTAGGTTCACACCTATGCACTTTCCGCTGCGTTTTGCAGAAACGCACAGCAGTCCATGTGACATGATTTCCTATGGGACAGGTTCACATCGCCGCGTTCTGACCCGGTGCGTTTTTTGGAAAGGGTAAGCTTGGGTTCACACTCATGCGGTGCGGTACATCGCATGTGATTCGCACAGGAACCGCACCGCATTTCTGTGCGGTGCAATTTGAGACATGTATTTTGGTATGGCTCTAATCGCACCACACCCGCACCAAATAGTGCAGGACCCTTTTTTTGTATGCACCAGAATTGGATCACGTGGGTGTTCACACACTTGCGATCCGATTCTGCACATCGCACCGCGTTTTGCAAACTGATTTTGGGGGTGTCGCTAACTTAAAATACACATCGCAGTGGTTCGAATGAACAGGGTGTGAATATGATGCGGTGTGCAAATTGCACAGAAACCGGTGTGAATTCTGCACCGTATCAGTGTGAACCCGGGTCAGGGACTTTTTAAAATGCAAAACATTGTGTTTTTGGCTCTATAGACTTCAATGGAGACACTGCAGAAAAGGATGTAGTGCATCTTTTATGCGTTTTGCATTTCATTCTGCCAAGCAACAATTTGAAAAAAATGCATTGAAAACACAGCAAACGCAAACTGCATAGGTTTGAACCTAGCCTTAAGTGGCAACGCCGTGAAGCACACATAAAAACCCAAAGAAGAAGAAAGTGTTCTTAACCACTTGCCGACCACAGATAGCCGAATGACGGCTACACTGCGGCCGGCCAGTTCTGGAAGGGCGTCATATGACGTCCCCCCAGAACGCGCTCTCCTGCGCGCCCCCGGGGGCGCGCATTCGGCAATCTCCATGATTGCTGTGTCCTACGGACACAGCTGATCACGTGATGTGGTAAAAGGCCAATCACAGCGGCCTTTTACCACGTGATCAGCCGTGTCCAATGAAACGCTGATCACCGGGAAATGCAAGTGCCGGTTCTCGGCTGCACTTTCCTCACACTGTCAGAGAGCGAGAAAAGTACTGCCAAGAACCTGCAGTTGTCAGAGCAGGGATCGGTACCGATCATCAGGGCACTAATGATCAGTTCCCTGATGATCGGTGCCCAGCAGTGCCACCCACCAGTTCCACCCACCTGTGCCACCCAGCAGTGCCACACACCTGTGCCCAGCAGTGCCACCCACATGTGCCCACCAGTGCCCAGCAGTGCTGCCATTCAGTGCCACCAGTCAGTGTCCAGTGGTTGTGCCAGTCAGTGCCCAGCAGTTGCACCAGTCAATGCCTAGCAGTGCCGCCTATCAGTGCTGTCTATCAGTGCCACCTATCAGTGCCGCCTATCCGTGACACCTCATTAGTGCTGCCTATCCCCGCCGCCTCATTAGTGCTGTCTATCAGTGCCGCCTCATTAGTGCTGCCTATTAGTGCCCTTCCGTGCTGCCTCATCAACGCACATCAGTGAAGGAGAAAAATTACCTGTTTGAAAAATTTTATAATAGAAAGAAAGAAACTTTTTTTTTTTTCAAATTTTTTGCAATTTTTTGTTTATAGCGCTAAAAGTAAAGCGCCCAGCGGCTATTAAATACCACCAAAAGAAAGCTCTATTTGTGGGGAAAAAAATGATAAAAATTTCATATGGGTACAATCTTGCATGACCGCGCAATTGTCAATCAAAATGCGACAGCACTGAAAGCTGAAAATTGGCCTGGTAACGAAGGGGTATACAGTCAGGTCCATAAATATTGGGACATGGACACAATTCTAACATTTTTGGCTCTATACACCACAATGGATTTGAAATGAAACCAACAATATGTGCTTTAACTGCAGACTGTCAGCTTTAATTTGAGGTTATTTACATCCAAATCAGGTGAACGGTGTAGGAATTACAACAGTTTGCATATGTGCCTCCCACTTGTTAAGTGACCAAAAGTAATGGGACAGAATAATAATCATAAATCAAACTTTCACTTTTTAATACTTGGTTGCAAATCCTTTGCAGTCAATTACAGCCTGAAGTCTGGAACGCATAGACATCACCAGACGCTGGGTTTCATCCCTGGTGATGCTCTGCCAGGCCTCTACTGCAATTGTCTTCAGTTCCTGCTTGTTCTTGGGGTATTTTCCCTTCAGTTTTGTCTTCAGCAAGTGAAATGCATGCTCAATCGGATTCAGGTCAGGTGATTGACTTGGCCATTGCATAACATTCCACTTCTTTCCCTTAAAAAACTCTTTGGTTGCTTTTGCAGTATGCTTTGGGTCATTGTCCATCTGCACTGTGAAGCGGCGTCCAATGAGTTCTGAAGCATTTGGCTGAATATGAGCAGATAATATTGCCCGAAACACTTCAGAATTCATCCTGCTGCTTTTGTCAGCAGTCACATCATCAATAAATACAAGAGAACCAGTTCCATTGGCAGCCATACATGCCCACGCCATGACACTACCACCACCATGCTTCACTGATGAGGTGGTATGCTTAGGATCATGAGCAGTTCCTTTCCTTCTCCATACTCTTCTTTTCCCATCTCTCTTGGTACAAGTTGATCTTTGTCTCATCTGTCCATAGGATGTTGTTCCAGAACTGTGAAGGCTTTTTTAGATGTCGTTTGGCAAATTCTAATCTGGCCTTCCTGTTTTTGAGGCTCACCAATGGTTTCCATCTTGTGGTGAACCCTCTGTATTCACTCTGGTGAAGTCTTCTCTTGATTGTTGACTTTGACACACATACACCTAACTCCTGGAGAGTGTTCTTGATCTGGCCAACTGTTGTGAAGGGTGTTTTCTTCACCAGGGAAAGAATTCTTCGGTCATCCACCACAGTTGTTTTCCGTGGTCTTCGGGGTCTTTTGGTGTTGCTGAGCTCACCGGTGCGTTCCTTCTTTTTAAGAATGTTCCAAACAGTTGTTTTGGCCACGCCTAATGTTTTTGCTATGTTGGGTTTGTTTTGTTTTTTCAGCCTAATAATGGCTTGCTTCACTGATAGTGACAGCTCTTTGGATCTCATCTTGAGAGTTGACAGCAACAGTTACAAGAGGTTACAACAGCAAGAGGTTACAATTTGCCAAAGAGCACATTGACTGGCCTAAAGAGAAATGGCGCAACATTTTGTGGACTGATGAAAGTAAGATTGTTCTTTTTGGGTCTAGTGGCCGGAGGCAGTTTGTCAGACGACCCCCAAACACTGAATTCAAGCCACAGTACACTGTGAAGACAGTGAAGCATGGTTGTGTAAGCATCATGATATGGGGATATTTCTCATACTACGTGTGTTGGGCCTATTTATCGCATACCAGGGATCATGGATCAGTTTGAATACATCAGAATACTTGAAGAGGTCATGCTGCCTTATGCTGAAGAGGAAATGCCCTTGAAATGGGTGTTCCAACAACACAACGACCCCAAACACACCAGTAAACGTGCAACATCTTGGTTCCAGACCAACAAGATTGACGTTATGGAGTGGCCAGCCCAATCCCCGGATCTTAATCCAACAGAAAACTTGTGGGGTGACATCAAAAATGCAGTTTCTGAGGCAAAACCAAGAAATAGAGAAGAACTGTGGAATGTAGTCCAATCATCCTGGGCTGGAATACCTGTTCACAGGTGCCAGAAGTTGGTTGACTCCATGCAACACAGATGTACAGCAGTTCTCAGAAACAGTGCTTATACAACTAAATATTCATTAAGTGATTCAAAGGAAAGCAAAATCTTCAAACATTTTTTCAGTTTATATTGTGAATGTTTGAGTTTGTAAAGAAGAATACAAACACTGCTATTTTTTTTGAACAGTCTAATATTCTCTTTTCTTCAATTTTTTTAGAGGAACAACACAAATTTGATATATTTTTCTTCATGTTTTGATTTGGAATAGAATGTGTAGTGTTCCCAATGCATTTGTGTGTATGAAAATAAAAGCTATTATTTTGAACACAACTATATATATATATATATATATATGTGTATATATATATATGTGTGTATATATATATATATATATATATACATATACATACACACACACAGTGAGGAACAGAAATATTTGAACACCCTGCGATTTTGCAAGTTCTCCCACTTAGAAATCATGGAGGGGTCTGTAATTCACATTGTAGGTGCATTCCCACTCTGAGACACAGAATTAAAAAAAAAAAAAAAATTCAGGAAATTGTGAGATGGGGAAACAGCTCTCATTGTTTGAACACTGTTTGTGTGCAGTAAATTATTGTGTGGAATAAATTAAATGTTCGGGACTGACATTCTGTGGTTTGGCCACAGGGATGCCACTGTTTTCCTAACACAGCCTCAGACTGCATAGATATTTCTATATTTATGAAGAGGTGGGGTTTTCACATAGAGTTGAGGGAACAGGAAGAAGAGAGACAGCAGCCATGTTTTGTGGATGGTGAATGCAGGAGCCGTGTGAGCAGAGAATCTGATGGCATCCAGGTGTGAGAGCATCCCTCAGTAACCAGAGCTGCAGCTAAGTGAAGCTGATCGTGTTCAAGACCCTGATCCTGTTCAGAGAAAGTAAGATTGCTGCCTGGAATGCTGATGAGAGCAGAGGAACAAAGCAACATACATTGTGATACCACATGCTTGTTGGAGAGACATTTGCTCTGTTCAGAGTCACCAGCGGATGAAAGCAGACCCGGATCGGTAAGATCGTGCACGCACCTCATTTCAGTGTTGGCGCCTAGAGACTGAGACCAGGCCTATAGTTATTTTGTTAGGGTCTCTGTTTGTGTCAGGCCACAAGTGTTATTACTGATCATTGGAAGGACTTCATAACTTAAAGTGACAGTTCACATTGGATAGCTGATAAAATTCCACAAACTCAAGCCAGTCTGGCGTTTTGCTCAGAAGGAATACTCAGGCACGTGATACAGGACCAGTTATGGGAGGGGGAATACTGTAGATTTGTGTAAAATTGTAAGCTATTGTGCTTCACCGCAGGCTAGCCCATACCATACAACCCATTACACTGATTCCTGCTCTTTTAGGGTAATAACGGGTAAGGTGTGGCAGCTTATTTGTGCCCGCCAGTAGGTAAATGACTACACCTTCTACCTTCATCCATCAGGAGGTGCCGTGCTGTGCAGCACAAGGGTCTCAGCCTTTAGGCTGGGTGTATGTAAATTTATTGTATGTTTTCAGAATTTGTGGTTGTGTTTATTTGCCACATCTGAGTAAAATTCTGTTGTGGCAAAAGCTGGTGTTGGAGTTGCTTTCCTTGTTCGTGACTTCACTGTATCCTGGGGAGCCCACCCCGGTACACAGCTTACAACTTGGCGTAGTCGGCAGGATATAGTGACTGTTATGGATGGGAATGCGGCGGGAGATCTTCCCCCGGCTCCAATGGCATCGGTCCAGGACCCAGTTTAGGGTGCGCCAGTGCAAGACCAAGTTGCCCCAACACCGCTGATACAGCTTGCCCCCGCCCTGCCCATACCAGTAGGGTACATTCCCGTGGGGGCGTTGTTGAGTCACCTGCCAAAATTTGACAGGAAAAATATGACGTTGCAGGACTGGACTGAAAGAGTGAAAAGTGCGGTTAGAATGTGTAACCTGACTTCCGAGTTGCAGCAGAGGTTGCATTGGGGGCTCTAGAGGGTGACGTCAGATGGACATTGATGGTAAGGCCTGAATCTGAAAGAGACACCCTAGAGAAAATATTCTCCCTGCTGGAGAGAGCCCAAGGGGGGCGTGCTAAAGTAGTGCAGCTGTGGAGCCATTTCTTCAACCGACCACAGCAAGAGGGCGAGACCCTGATGCAGTACTCCAATGCCCTACAGGAGACGCTAAATGAGGCCATGGGAGCTTTCCGGGAGGTGGACCGGCTACTACGAGACCAGTTCATTGTGGGGCTCTCCAACAAGTTCTTACAGGACAAATTACAAGAGATGACCCAGACGGCGCCCAACATTACATTCTACAGCATCTACTTAGCCGCCGTGGAGAGAGAGGAAGAGTGCATACCTGTGGTGGCGAGAATAGTGAGTAGTACTCATGCTACAAGAGGTCAGTCTGCATTTGAAGACTCGGAATCCTTAAAGGATATGGTCCAAGCCTTGCGGACAGAATTAAGAGAACTTCGGCTGGAAGTGTCCCAGATGAAGGCAGAATCTCCCCGGCCTCCGGAAATGACCCCAGCACCCCGCACCACTCCACCCAGGATAACTCAGCTGCGGGGGCACGTCAAAAGGGGCTTGTCGACAGTACGGCCATATGGCCAGAGAGTACCCAGAACAGATGAAGTCCGAGCCGACGTTAAACATCCGACCACCGCAGTAGCTGGGCATCCTGCGGCGGTACACCAGAAGCTAAGCCCTAAGCATGAGGAACACGACCTGTATGCCAGCAGCCCCGTTATGGAAGCCGAGTTGGAAGGCCAGAAGGTATGCTGCCTAGTTGATACAGGGTCGGAGTGCACCCTTATG